TTTTTTTTTTGGGGGGGGGGGGGGGGGGGGGGGGGGCAAGGCAAGCAGTGGGAGGTTAGGACCTGATACAAAATGTCGACATCACGCTGCAAGCGAACCGAAACAATTAACACATCCTGCGGATACGAGCGTTGCCGTGAAGACAAGTTCTGGCCGTTAATAACACACACACAATCTCAGCCAGCTTCGATCTCGCGCTCAACCCCAACACTACCGAACCTCCAACCGTTTTCCAGCCTGTGCACTGCCGTGGTCTGCACAGACAGGTCCGCGATGCGTGTTGAAACCACGCACGCCCGACCTCAAACAAACCTGGTGGTCTGTAGAGTACTCCACTGGAGCCGACAGCTCCACCTTCACCCCCTCGTGGGCGGGCTCAAGGGTCAAGGACCGGATGCTGGACAGCGGAGCGTCCCACAGCACCCGCACGCCCCCGAGGGCCGGCGACCAGGGCGAAAACGCAACCCCGAACCTGTGACGTAAAAGGAGCATCCGGGAGAATTTCAGAAGGTGGAGAGATAATTGCACCGCGCAGCTCTCGTACCGGCGTGTGTGGAAAGAGGTGGGGCCCAGGCGGAACATACTAACGCGACCTGCGGGGTTAGAGGCAAACTACTGCAAATCGTGTCAGGGACGTGTTTGAATTCGTCCTTGTTTCCAGATTTCAAGCGATCCGATCGCACCGCAACGTCACTCTTTTTTTAACAGACTTATATTTCTGTCGTAAATACCTGGCAAGGTCAAGGGTCTTAACCTTCTCCTTGTCCGCCCCCCAGCCGGGCTCCTCCTGCGCGTGGAGCATTCGCTTGTCCGTAACGATGACCCACCGTGTCACAAACGCCTCATCCGGGGACGAACTCGAACCGTCCCCTGTACGTGCGCGCGAGGAATTAAAGCCGCAGGAGTTCATTGTCAACCAAACAGTAAGATACATGCACAACATAAATTAGATATGGCAACTCTTCTCGTAGCACACAAGAACAGCCGAACGCACCATGACATACCACATTGCAGGAACTATCGTGATGTCAACCTCCGGCGGACACCCGGGTCGCAGCGAGACATGACGCTCCATCCCACCTTCTCACACCAAACTACCATCGCTCCCTGGCGTGGTGGTGAACAATCCATGCTGGCACTCGTCTCCCTTCGAATCGCGGGAATATTGCACCTCGAGAAAGAAAATTGTTGCGCCTCCGCAAACGGTGCGGCCAAGGATCGACCACCAAGATACGCAGACGGGACACCCACCTGACTTGCTTGATGCAGCAACGCCGCCGCCAGCACGACCCCCCTCTGCCGCCGCTGCGGTAGACTCCGCGTTTTCTCCCTTCGCACCGCCTTTACTCTTGGCGGTGGTGGTGGTTGAGGAAGACGAGGACCGGATGACGAGTCCACGTAAGTGCCGAGCGCGGAGCGTCAGCCTTCGGAACCACCGGATTCTGTATTGCGGAGGGATTGGGGGGGGGGGGGGGTTGGGGATATCAGGACATGGGAAATCGGAGACGAGCGACATACTTAGTAGGGCATAGGGAACAGGGCGACGGTGTGTATCAGAACTTGGAGGGAAAATGGACACGGGGGTGGGTGAGCAACCTGGCGGGGTATATAGCACGACAATACGCGCCCTCGGCAGCTCGGACCGATACCAACCCTAGATACCAAAGGTAATGCGTTCGGGACCAGAGCGAGTATCACCCGATAGGTAGGGGGGTTCGGGGTCAAGGCTGAAAGGAAAACGGAGCGCAAAGAAAGGGCGAGGGAACAAGCAAAGGAAACCTACAAAAAGATGGCAAAATTGGTGTCTTCAGGAATGCAAGGGGGGGGGGGGGGGGGGGGGGGGGGGGG